GGGGGGGGGGGGGGGGGGGTGGACACTAGGTGGATGAAGGGTCCCACATCAATTGGAGAGGGGAACGAGTGCCAGCGAGGACGCTGGGCTCGAAGGGGGTGAACTGTGAGATCTCACATCGGTTGGAGAGGGGAAGAATCATTCTTTATAAGGGTATAGAAACATTTTCCTAGCAGATGCGTTTTAAAAACCTTAAGGGGAAACACGAAAAGGAAAGCCCAAAGAGGACAATATCTACTAGCGGTGGGCTTGGGCCGTTACATTTACAACACAAAGGTCGACAATGATAGCATTTTAATTAGTGCTTACCTCCGCAATTACTTCATTAATAAGTTGTTCTGCCCTGCTAACTTGTTCTGAAGTGCCCATTAATTCAACGTCTCTCGTCAAAGACTGAGGATCAGCTTCGAAATCTCTAGTGATCTGGATTTTAGCCCCGGATTGAAGTTGTAGGTATTTGATTGTTTCTCCACCTTTCCCGATAATCAACCCAACCTACAAACGGATTCGAAAAGAAATAATCATCTTTGTCAGTAATATGCAAATGGTAATCTATCTAAAAAACAAGATGGGCAACCAAGTACCTTCATAGTTGGAATATTTATTTTCTTACTCGTGGTTTGAAAACCACGATATGGACCTGTTTGAGTACCAGAAGAAACTGAACACTTGAAAGTTAGCAAAATCTAGCATTGAAATTTCGAGTTTCTTTTCAATAGAAAGTGTAACGACATGTTCAGTATTTAATTTACACAGAATGCAGCGTGAATCTCAAGGTTGCCAAAGGATGTTGGAAAATCTTAATGCAAGAAGCGATACACGACACGAAGCAAAGATATTTGAGTATGAAAATACATGAACATCTGCTTCCTGATTAGTAAAATCAAAATTCTTAAGCATATAAAACACGCCAAAAAAGAATCTCAAGAAACAAGCAATTAGATACAAACAAACATAGAAGAAAAGCAACAAAAAAGAAAAAGGATTTTCAGTGACGAACACAAAAGATCTCGAAGATTGATCCAAAAGATCCCATAAATGCTTGAAATGATCATGAAACTAGAGCAAGATTGATCCAAAACATGGAGCTACCTGTTGTTAAACGTGAAAGGGAAATTTTCAATAGCTTCAAACCACAAATTTCCATAAAGACAGAGTTTCATTTTCATCAACATTCTCATTGTTTGGCAGATTACAACGGGGTGGAAATCTAAAGAACACAATAAGGGTTCTAATTGTTACAAACTCCATAACACTCTCCGAAATTGATTTCAGAACCCTTGGATTGCCGATGAATTGATGTCACCCACCCACACAAAGTAGACTCATCTTTAGAAAAAAAAATTGATGCCCAATTTCCGCTTATATCTATGCTACCAAACTAGTCTATATCCAACCACAAATGAACGAACAAAAATTCATGTCGCAAGAATCAGTAAAAATTCTCTGGCTTACCAGGAAATGAAGAGGAGGGTAATGGAGGGTTTTGTGGCGCGGGGGCGGTAGCGGGTGATTCATAGTCAAAACGAGGGCGTTTGGACTCGGCATCGCTCACTAGCTTAGCAACGATTTCCTGAGCTTTTAGCTTAGCCAATTGAATATTCTGTTCGAGCTTGCGCTTGTTAGAGTCGGAGTGAAGCTCTTCTCCGTCATCGGAGTCTTTCATGGCGGTTGGAATCAGGCGAACTCCGGCGCAGAGAGTGAGAGTGAAAGAGGAATGAAGATTCAGCGGTGTGGCGCGGCCGGGAACGATGGTGTAGGGCTTTTTGAGTTCGAATCGCTTCAAAACGAAATTGGATTTGGAAGGTCTTGTTTTTCCCCAAAGTCTTTGTTTAAGTCAAGAACTCACTATTCTCCTTTTTTTTTTTTTCATTAAATTACATTTCCAAATTTGTCTTTTTTTAATATTTATAATTTATTAAAAAATATTTTTCAATTGAGTTCGGTTTCTCGTGTCGCCTTCATCCTTCATAAGATCATTGACGGGGTCGACAATGTTAGCTACGACTTATTCATTGTATTCATGGTTGTTACTCTGTTTGTCATCGCCTGTTTCGAGTCATGGCTACCTCGATCATCCTCACGACATCAAAGACGAGGAACACGAGAGTATTTATTATAGTGCGGGCCCTACTTTCGGGTGTCAAGTTTGTAGCTTTGGGCACGTATGGAAAACGTTTATAATTGTGATTGAAATAGAAATTTAAAAGCATATATACTAAAATAGACGGAATCGATAGGGATATTCAACATTATTTTGGGGGTAATTTGGTAATATGAATTATGGTGACATGATTTTGAAAATTTTGATTGTTCTCGAACATACACAATTTTTTTAGACTTCATTTAATGCTTATCTCGGAGGTCCATCACCGAAGCATAATCCGTCTCGTGCTATAAGAACCTATCGACCAGTTCACCCGCTCGATCGAACACTTCATTTTGATGAAGCCTGCAATGTAATCTGCACAAAAACAAGGATAATTGATCGAAAACAAGTCCATAAGTTACCCTGCTACCAACACGAGAGATGAGAACCAGATAGAACTAAGATGATATCGACATATGCCACTCGAGCTAAGCTCAACTGGTCAAGGGATATACTTTCAGTCAAGAGGTCAGAGGTTTGAATCCCCGACCTCTATATGTCATCAAACTCAAAATATAAGAAGTAAAGAACTACAAGAGAAGCCAAATAATTCGTGGTACTTGGACTCTACCGTTCTTGAGATCACTCGAGCCTAAGCCAACTAAATCGACTCCTAACTTTACCCTTTCTCCCCCTAACAACATCCAATAGCAATCCTATAACAAAGCTACTCTCGAGTTCGACCTCTTAACGAGGCACCCGAGCCATAATTACACACATGGCGTATCAAAATGAAATTAGATACTAAAAAGCATCGAGTCGATTGCTAGTAGTAAAGTAATACTTGGTCCAATGTTCTCTACGCCTTCTCGTTACGCTTCCGCAACGTCGATGTCTTTCGAGGTCTTCGAAACCAGAGAAACGGAGACCATAGAGTTCGAAACAAACCCCCATTAGTAAAATGCGGTATGAATATCCGACCCCAATATGGATAGTTCGGGCCGGGCAGTTTAACGAGGGCGAAGAACATTGCAATGGTGATCAAATGCCATGGCACTTCTAGATCCTAGAAAAAGGAAAATGGTGGATAGCAAAGAAAGAACTACTGAGGATTTCATCCATGACTAATAAGACAATGCCTCAAGAAACCTGCTGAATGTCCCACATAGATCATTAATGAAGTTTAACGCTATAGTTTAAGGCGTCGGAGACGAAAATGTTGCCTCATAGACGATGTAGATTGTCGAAAACTAGGAAGACTAATAAACCGTGTTCAAACAATCCTTGCGAATATCATTTATGTCGTTTTTGTTGAAGCTTTGATGCAATAATGAAGATTAATGCTTGGTCTGTGAGATCCCACATCAGTTAGGGAGGAGAAAGAAACATTCTTTATAAGGATGTGGAAACCTCTCCCTAGCATGCGCGTTTTAAAAACTTTGAGGCGAAGCTCGAAAGGGAAAGCCCAAAAAAGACAATATCTGCTAGCGGTAGGTTTGGGCCGTTACAAATGGTATTAGAGTTAGAAATCGGGCGATGTGCAAGCAAGGAAGTTAAGTCTCGAAGAGGAGTGGACATGAGGCGGTATGTCAGCAAGAACGCTGGCCTCGAAGGGGATTGGATTGTGAGATCCCACATTGGTTAGGGAGCATAACGAAACATTCTTATAAGGGTATGGAAACCTCTCCCTAGCAAACGCGTCTTAAAAACTTTGAGAGGAAGTTTGGAAGGGAAAGGCCAAAGAGGCCACTATCGGCTAGAAGTGAGTTTGGGCCATTACAAATGGTATCAGAGTCAGACACCAGGCGATGTGCCAGTGAGGAGGCCGAGTCCCCTCGAACAAAGCACACCATAGAGCCTGCCCTGAAGCCTATGGAATCCTCGAATAGCCTCCCTTAATCAAGGCTCGACTACTTCTCAGGAGCCCTCGAACAAAATACACCCTTAATCGAGGCTCACAACTTCTTTGTTCGAAACTTAAGGATTCTATTGACATGGTTAAGTTAAAAGCACTCATGGCTTTGCTTTTGGATTTCCCAGAAGGCCTCATACCAATGGAGATGCTTTCCTTACTTATAAACCCATGATCATCCCCTTAATTAGCCAATGTAGGACTCCCTCCCAACAATCCTCAACGATCCTCCCCTCAAACAAAACACACCATATAGCCTCCCTTGAGGCCTATGGAGCTCTCGAACAGCCTCCCTTTAATCGAGGCTCGACTCCTTCTAAAGAGCCCTCGAACAAAGCACGCCCTTTATTCGACACTTGAGTCACTTTTGACTACACCCTCAAGGCTCACAACTTCTTTGTTCGACATTTGAGGATTCTATTGACATGGTTAAGTTAAGTGCCCGACTCTCCACAATGATATGACATTATCCACTTTAAACATAAGCTCTCATGGGTTTGCTTTTGGTTTCCATACCAATGGAGATATATTTCTTTACTTATAAACCCATGATCAACCTCTTTTAATTACCCGACGTAGGACTCCTCTCCCAATAATCCTCAACACAACAAGGTAAGTAAATGGCCTCAAGCCCGTTCGACAGTCAACTAGAGGTGTAGAAAATCCCTTAAAACAAAACGCAAATTCATCACAGAAATGTAAACACTGCACGAGCTATGGACTTTCCAATCACCATCACCCACAAATTTGTATCAAGATTCTTCCACCAATTCAATCAAACACCAATTAGCTTAATCTACAATGAGAAACAAAACAAATGCATTCTTGAAAGCTAGAAACAGAGCTCTAATAATCCCACCCACTGACTCAGGCTTCACAGAAAATACTTCATAAAGAGAAAGAGAATAAAGGCTCGTCAAGCTTACCCTAAGCGCTAGAAGAACCGGGGCGTGAAGGGCCATTTTAGTGGAACTTTGAAGGTGCGTCGCCATCGCTGCGCCTCAATTGAAAGCTGTTGATGGATGAACACACAGTTTTGGAAGGAGGGTTTGTCCACGGACACCATAAACCGCCACAAATTCTGAAAAATTCTGGGAGGATCACTCTAGCAAAACAGAAACCCTGAACTTGGATAAAGGGTTTAAGACGGCGGGCCCCGAATAAGCTGCCGGCTCACCAGGGTAAATAAGTAAATTCGCTCGTTCGAGGGTTTGGTTTGGGAGTGGTTTCAATCTCAACTCCTTTACTTTTCTTTATGTAATCTGGTTGGGTCGGGTTAGTTTGGTCCTTTGCACATTGAACATGTACCCAACACGAACCGGGTTGAGTCCTAAAAAAAATTCAGCTCAACCCAACTCTTATAATTTGAGTTAGATTGGGTCGGGTTCTTGGGCTAAATGTATGCCCCTGTTTTCAAGTAAATACTTTTTTAAAGTTTTCGGGTTGGGTCAGGTTAACCCAAAAATTAGAATTCGAACCCAAACCCAACCTAAACGGTTCCAAAAAATGAATCATGCTCAAACCCAAACCCTTTTAAACCCAATCCAACCCTTATAATTCAACTTGAATCGGGTTTGGTCGTTGTATGTACACCCTTAATAGTTAATACATTATTAAGTGAAAAGCCACGTCACTAATAGATAATTATGGGTTGGTTAATTTAATTAATTAATTAATAACTTGATGATATTAAAGAATTGTGTTGCGTTAATGTAATTAATTAGAGCATTAAATTGGTATTAGGTGGTAATTATATTTTTTATTTACCATGATATCATTACATATTTTAATGAAAAAGAAAAAGATTAAATGGAGGTTTATTTTTGAGTGGCTGAGATTTATTTGATAAAATTATTGCATGTGTTGTTCTTATTTTAATTTCCATGATCTCATCATTTTTAGTAGGTTAGATTTGATTGATTTTTAAATCGAGTGGTTAGAATTGATTCATAAAAAGCAAAAATAAAAATAAAAGCACCCAATTGTTTGCTTTAAAATTCATAATATGCTGACAAGTGTCCACTTTACTCTTTTGTCCTTTTATCTGAAATTACTACTCTACCCTTGCATATTTAATGGTCAGATATCGACCTCTCTTATTGTGACACGTTGCCAGCTGCTGGATAAGCCTATCTCAAATTTTCTTTTTATTTTTATAATTTTAATTACAATTTCCAAAGCTTAAATTCTAATTAATATAAAACACTATTCACCATTGCATGACGATAACTAGCGATTCTGACTTCATGCAGACGAGTTGCAGTTAATCATCCGAATTGAGGACAGATTTTTGGAGTTAACCCACTTTGACGGGACCACGACCCTTTGTCCCGCCATTGTAGAACATGTGTCGCTCGCAGCATAAGGGGGTATGATGACTTGAGGTCATCCTCACCTTCCTCCGATTTATTACCAACAGTCGCTCTATAGACTTAAATAAAACCAAAATTAATATTCAAATCATAAATATATTTCACCTAATTTTCAAATAATATTTTTTATTTTATTTTATTTTACTATCATTTTCAATAATAATAATAAATAAATAAATAAATAAAATATATTCTCAATAAATAACACTGTGTACTAATATAAATGGAGAGAATAAGTTATTATTTGATTGAGATAGCGAATATACAAGAACCAATCAAATAATTACAATTTAAAAAAAATAAAATAAAAATGGAATATATTTAGTGGGGTAATTAATTAAATTTATTTGCATGAACAGACAAGGAATTAAGATCGTGGAAAATGTGATTAAATATTAAATCCCACCAATCACCTGACAGTTTAGAGTTTACTAATCAATATTTTTTAAATATATATATATATATATGTTTATTATTATTATTATATTATTGTTATAGGTAAGAATTAAATTATTTCAAAATAATAATAATAAATAAATATATACGGAATAATTGAAACGTTGGTCAAATTTTGCAAACTAACATATTTATTTTTAAAAATATTCCTTTTGTAATAACAGTTTTCAAAGTAATTATTTTATAAAATAAAATTAAGGAATGATGAAGATTCCCTTAGAAAAATTAATATTTTATTTAATTAAATTATATTCGGGTTGAAAAAGTCTTTTGGACCACCAGTAATTTTAAATTGATTTGGGTCGGTGACAACGTTAAATATTCTTAATTTTCTTTAAAATAGGGTAAGGTTGGGTCGTAACCCTATTTTCAGATTGGTCGGGTAAAAAAAATATCAATCTACAAACCTAATTAAAATTTTTGATTTAAAAAAAAAATTCAATCCAACCCAAATCGAAAAAAAATTTAACGTTCGAGTCAGTTGAGTTATCAGATCATACGAACACCCCTGACCAGAAACCCGTGCCTCACCCTATCTTCAAACCCAAATTGGAATCAATCAGGGCTGTCAACCGTTCACTATCCCAAGACTAAAATAAAACACCGCTACGACGTCACAGACAAAAATGCAACATTTTCCCGGTCGAAAACTAAACAAAAACAAAATAGAAGGACCAAAATGCAATTAAATAAAATAATTATTTGAGTGCCAGCTGGCGGTTGCAAAATTTATAACATAAGGTCATCATCACTCCCCATTACATTATTTGAATCTTGTCTCCTTATGGATAATATTTGAACTATTTTCTATTTTCTATTTTATTTATTTATTTATTTTTAATTATTTTTCATTACTTTAAGTCTACATCACACTTTATTTCCCTCACTTTTTGTGCACTTTTTTTTTTCTTTTTGGTTTTCAAATGATGAAAAAAATAATTATTTTTATTTATTTATTATTATTATTTAAATGACTTAACCGACACACGACCCCTCATGTTACTCGCATGTGTTTTGCAATTATCCGACCTTACTTCTTTTCGACATCATAATTTAAAAGAAATATACTTCTTTTCGACATTTTATTTAGGTTTTAGAAGTTTGAAACTGATTCTCACGTTAATACTCAAAACTTTTATTATATAATTTAAAACGATGCACCAATTGAACTGTTTAATTATTTTATTATTAATATTATTATAATTTTAAAAGGGAAACGTAGGTACGTCAAAATCTAAATAATGAGTTTTTTTTAATTAATTTTTAAGGTTGCGAAAATAATAAACATTTTAAAATATTATCTCCGCTAAATTAATAAAAATATTTTAAAATTCAATATTAATTAAAAAAAATTATGTTTGGAAGGCAAGTTAGGTGAGCTTTATGGATAAGATAGGGAGCATTCCACTTGGATGTCAAGTTGAATTAAATTTAATAAATAAAAACAATAATTAGGGTTTAGAAAAAGGGCAAAAAAGTACTAAAATTTAATGCCACGTAAGCCATGATTTTGATGTTTCAAGTTATCCAATTGGTTCCTAGTAAAGTAAAATGAGAGCTTTTAGACTTTTGAGGTTTTTTCCAATTGTTTTATTTAATTTTTACATTTTCATATTCTCAAGTGGTCCACTCGTATGAAAGAATCCGATCGTCACGATTTTATCGAATATTAATCGATAAATTTTCTTGAATACTATGAAAGATTCTATTCCTTATACGAGTGTGGAAACATCTCCCTAGGGACAAAATATTCCTTATACGAGTGTGGAACAAAATATTCATGATTTTGATGGTCGGAGAGAGGAACAAAATATTCCTTATACGAGTGTGGAAACATCTCCCTAGTGGACATGAGTCTGACCATAATGCGTAATGGGGACAAAGCGGATAATACATGCTAGTAGTGGACTTGAACGGTTACAATTACGATGATCAAACAATAAGAAACTACGACATAATGTAAGGAAGGAGCCAAAGAAATTAGCGTTTATTTAATATTTTTATTTAAGAATATAATAGTAGGGATCGAGGTCGAGATTGAGAATAGGGGTGGGGACCACTACTCCCGTACTCATCCTCAAAATAAAAAATGGTTTTTTTTTAATTATAAAGTAGAGTAACGATAATTAAAGAGGGTTGAAAATAGCTAATATCTATCTAAACTTTCGTGTTTGTATATATTACCATAGTTTTAGAATAAAAATTAATTTTAAAAATACCTTGAAATTTATTTATTTTTAATTAAAGTTAAATTAAAATAAATAAATACATACATATATATTATCATGAAATATTTTATTTATTTAGCAAGAACATTAAAGCCATTTATTAATTAAGTATTAAAATGGCAGGTGTCCCTTTCTTTTTTTTCTTTTTTTTTTTAATTAAAAAAAAAAAAAAAAAAAAAAAA